TTACATTCTATTATATTAGAAAGTCATGAAAGATATTACTTATTTACTAGGGCCGGGATTCAAATTTTCTTGCTATAGGCCTTAAATTAGGTATTGCCTCACCTAACTTTTAAGTCCCTGCCCCAGTAGGATGATTCAAAATGATCCAAGTTGGTGCTTTTGACACAGTCAAAAAACAGACTTTGGGGACAACTAAAAGTGATTTAGTTTTAGGTGCCAGGATGGTTCATACAGAGAACAGACAATGGTAGGCACTTCCAATGGATGATTCAGAATGGCCAGAGGCACCAAAGCAACCAATAGGAATGGTTAAATTGCAGAATTCAGAGTATGAAACTGGAGATAGGCCTGTTGAAAGTCTTTGTGTTAGAGTCAGAAGAGAGAGCAACAAGGGTGATGTTGTGGTGGGAGTCTGCTATAGACCACCAGTCCAGGAGGCATTGGTGGATGAGGCTATCTTCAAACAGCTAGCAGAAATTTCCCAGTCACAGGCCCTGGTTCTCATGGAGGACTTCAATCACTCTGACTTTTGCCCGGAGAGCAATACAGCAGTGCACAGGCAATCCAGGAAGCTTTTGGAGAGTGTTGGGGACAACTTCCTGGTGCAAATGCTGGAGAGGCCAACTAGGGGCCATGCTCTTCTTGACCTGCTGCTCACAAACAGGGAAGAATTGGTGGGGAACGTATTAATAGATGACAACTTGGGCAGCAAAGACCAAGAAATGACTGAGTTCAGGATCCTGAGGAAAGAAAGGATGCAGAGCAGCAGAGTAAGGATCTCAATGCCTTTTTCACTTCAGTCTTCACACGCAAGGTGAGCTCCCAGACTACTGCACCTGGCAGCATAGCTTGGGGAGGAGGTGAGCAGCCAACAGTGGTGAAAGAACAGGTTAGGGACTATTTAGAAAAGCTGGGCACATACAAGTCCCTGGGGCCAGAGGGGATACACCAAAGGGTGCTGAGGGAGTTGGCTGATGTGATTGCAGAGTCATTGGCCATCATCTTCAAAAACTTATGGCTATCAGGAGATGTCCCAGATGATTAGAAAGTGGCAAACACAGTCCCCATATTTAAGAAAGGGAAAAAGGAGGATCAGGGCGGGGGGGACGGGGGACGGGGATGGGGACAGGGATGGACTACAGACCAGTCCTCAGTCCCTGGAAAAATCATGGAGCACATCATCAAGGAATCCACTTCTAAGTACTTGGAGGAGAAGGTGATTAGGAACAGTCAGAAAGGATTCACCAAGGGCAAGTCATGCCTAACTAACCTGACTCCCCTCTATGATGAGGTGACTGACTCTGTGGATGCAGGGAAACCAGTGGACATGGTATACCTTGATTTTAGTGAGGACTTTGATACAGTTTTGAACAGCATTCTCACAGGCAAGCTAAGGAAGTACAGGCTGGATGAATGGACTGTAAGGAAGATAGAAAACTGGCTAGAGCATTGGGTTCTGAGAGTAGTAATCAGTGGCTTGATGTCTAGTTGGCAGCCGGCATCAAGTGGAGTGCCCCAGGGATCAGTCCTGGGGCCAGTTTTGTTCACTATTCACCAAAATGACCTGGAAGATGGCATAGAATGCACCCTCAGCAAGTTTGCAGATAACACCAAGCTGAGAGGAGTAGTAGATATGCTGGAGGGTAGGGCTAGGATTCAGAGTGTCCTCGACAAATTAGAGGATTGGGCCAAAAGAAATCTTGTGAAGTCCAATAAGGACAAGTGCAAAGTCCTGCACTTAAGATAGACCAGTCCCATGCACCGGTACAATCTGGGGCCTGACTGGCTGTGCAGCAGCCCTGCAGAACAGAACCTGGGGTTACAGTGGACAGTAAGATGGGTATGAACCAACAGTATGCCCTTGTTGTCAAGAATCTCAAAAGCAGCTTCAGACCATCTTGAGGAACTGCGGACATGAGCTTTACAGCATGTCAAATCCAGGAGAAGTGTCGTGAGCATAATCAACCTCTATTTGGCCTTCATCAACCTCTCTAAAGCCTTCAATTCTGTAAACTGTGAATCCCTATGGAAAATCCTGTCCAAAATTGGCTGCCCAAACAAGTTCATCAGTGTTCTGAGACTTCTCCATGACAACATGTCAGCAAGGGTTCTCAGCAACAGGAATCAAACAGAACCTTTTGAGGTGAAAACTGGAGTGAAGCAAGGTTGCATCATCACTCCAATATTATTTTCCATTTTCATCTCCACCATAACACACCTTGTTGACAGAAAGCTCCCACCTAGAATTGACATTGTGTATAAGATGTATGGAAGACTTCAACCTCAACAGACTCAACTCCAAAATGAAGACCATGATAACATCCATAATGGAGCTCCAGTATGCGGAAGACAATGCTGTCATTGCTTAATCTGAAATAGACTTCCAGACCATTCTTAATGTATTTTCGGAAGTCTACAAGCGTATTGGCCTAACTCTAAACATCAGGAAAATGCAAGTCCTTTACCAACCTGCTCCAAATGGAGAAACAAACCACCCCTTCATTCAAATCAATGGAGAATTTCTACATAATGTGGATCACTTGCCTATCTTGGAAAACATCTTTCATCAAAGGCAGACATTCATTTGGAAATACAACACTGCTTGAAATGTGCAAGCGCAGCCTTTGGATGTCTTTTTAAATCATGACATCCTTGCTGAAATGAAGCTCTTGGTTTATTGAGCCATTGTCATTCCAGCTCTGCTGTATGGCTCGGAAACTTGGACCACATACAGAAGATATCTCTAGAGCTTGGAAAAGGACCACCAATGGTGCCTTCACAAGATCCTTCGGATAAGCTGGGAGGATAGATGCACAAGCATTAGTGACTTGGCTGAAGCAAATTCCAACAGCATTGAGGCCATGATCATCCAAAACCAACTTTGCTGGATAGGTCATGTTGTTCGCATGCCTGACTCCCGCCTTCCAAAGAGAATCTTTTTCTAACAGCTGAAAGAAGGTCAGCAAAGTAGTGGCAAAGGAAACACTTCAAAGTCACCCTGAAAGCAAACATCGACATCAACACTTCAAGCGGAGACCCTTGCTCAGGACCAACCAAAATGGAGGAAAGCTTTTTGGGAGGGACCTCAACACTTTGAAACAGCTTGTCGACAGGCAGAAGAGGCAAAGAGGAACAGGCAAAAAGAACACCAGAACATCCAGAGCAGCTACACAGTGCCCATCCCTCCTGGAAACACCTGCCCTCACTGCAACAAGACATGTGGATCTAGAATTGGGCTATGGAGACACCTGCGGACTCACTATTAAGATCCTTGGAAGACAATCTTACTTGTTCGTGAGTGTTCACCCATCATCAAATAAAGGTACTAAGTAAAGGTACTGCCCATAATCAACAGGAAGGCCTTTCTATTTATTATGTACCAATTAACAGGCTGGGGAACTCCCTTCTCATGGCTGGGGAACTCCCTTCTCACCAGTGTCAAGACAGAAAAGGATCTTGAAGTCATCATTGATGCCACAATGAATATGGACTGACAAAGTGGGGACGCGGTCAGGAAGGCCAACCATACCTTCTCGTGCATCCACAGATGCATCTCAAGCAGGTCCAAGGAGGTGATCCCCTGCCCTCTATGCGACACTGGTCAGGCAGCTGGAAAACTGTGTCCAGTTCTGGGAGCCACACTTCAGGAGGGATGTGGCCAATATGGAGAGGGTCCAGAGGAGGGCCACCCGCATGATCAGGGGTCAGCAAGGCAGGCCCTATGAGGAGAGGCTGAGGGACCTGAACCTGTTCAGCCTCCAAAAGAGAAGGCTGAAAGGGGATCTAGTGGCAGTCTACAAACTAGTCAGTCAAGGGGGACCAACAGGCATTGGGAGAGTCCCTGTTCCCCTGAGCATTCCCAGGAGTTACAAGAAACAACGGACACAAGCTAGTGGACAGTGGTTTCAGGCTAGACATTAGGAGGTGCTATTTCACTGTCAGGGCGGCTCGGACCTGGAACGAACTTCCAAACGAAGTGGTGCTGGCTCCTACCCTGGGGGTCTTTAAAAAAAGGCTGGATGAACATCTGGCCAGGGTCGTTTGACCCCAGTACTCTTTCCTGCCACGGCAGGGGGTCGGACTAGATGATCTCCTCAGGTCCCTTCTCACCCTACCAACTATGAAACTATGAAACAGCTAAAAACATGCTTGACAGATGATTAACATTTATATATTCTAGTTGTTAACCTCAGCAAAGTTGAGATGATGTTTCTGCATGCTTTACCCACATTACCCAATGGTTTCAGTAACTTTTTGAGTTACATAAGCAGACTGTGGTTCTCACTAACAATTTTTTTTTTTAAATTGAAGAATTGTTTTATTTAAATAATAATTGCCTTAAAGACAATATTATGCACATGGAATTATGTTTCAAATCTTCCATGAGTGGCTACAGATTCATCAATTACACAATAAATAACTTTTGATTAGGGAGTTTCACTTCAAGCCTTGAATAAGGGGTCAATGTATTGTTGCCCAATCCATGTATCCAGGCACTGAATTGTGACTCAAAGTCATTGGCTTTTGATTCCTCCTTTGCTCCATGGTGGGAAGTAACCTGAAACAACCTTTTACTTGGCCAGCCACTGATGTGCTGGCTGATGCATTGCAGAGACAAGGAACAAGAATGAATCTCCCCACCCCTGACTGCCGGCTTGTACAGGATGGAAAATAGCAAACTCATGGAAAAAGCTTTCCCCACCATGCTGCAACTTGCAATATGTGTACTTCCATGTCAGCTAGGTAGCAGGTCTTCTTTATTTTTCCTTATTTCCCCGTGTGGGTGTGAAGGGCAAACTGTGAGCTGCCCTGAAGAGGTAATCAAATTCTTAAAACACTATGATATACCACAATGGGTTTTTTTGATAAATGATTTTAGAGCTACTTGAGGAAAATGGTATTTGTAGTATATTCCAGAAAATTTTCATTCATTCATTACATCATCCCTGGAATCACATTTCATTATGGCATATACAGTATTTCTGCTGTTCATTGCTCACCTGTCCTGGTTGCTCACACGCTGTCTGGTACCTTGCTTGTTGGCATAATTCCTTTACTCTCTCATATTTTGGTAAATGATTAGACTGTTGAACTGTTTTATTGGGCTCCTCCTTCTTGCGCAGAAATTTGCTTTAAAAAAAGGTGAAAAAAGATTAACATTTCACAAATAATGTACCCTCAAAAATTTGGAGAGGATGAAATTAACTAAAAAAAAAAAAATCAAAGTTTATCCTCTAGTGGCTACCCTTGAAGAGAAAAATATTAGTGTGCTAGTAAGATTTAACAAGGGCTCCTATGGTGAATGGGTAATTCGAGTGACGTGCTGAAGATCTACTCTAGTAGCCAGCAGTAGCTACTGCTGCACAGTAGTGGTGGTGTCATGGTTAGTGCCTGCTGATGCTACGTCACTGTGATGTAGCATCTTGTAAAGATGTGCCCTACATAAACTAATCATATGGCCATATCCACAGAACCTGTGAAGTCCACAGAACCTGTGAAGTCAGGA